AACAGAATAAATGAACAGTTAACTTCACTTTATCTTTATGTAAGAGGTATATATATATATATATATATATATATATATATATATATATATATATATATATATATGATAAAAATGTCTGAGCTTGCGTCCGTCCGGCACATAATGCTTTACATAATGCTTTTATATAGTAAGTATTTTTATACAGACAACTTTTTTAAATTTAAATATTTTTTAAGTTAAAGACAGACACAAAGAGGCCATGCTTTGTTATTTCGTCCAGTTGTTTGTAGAGTAATTATTTATATTTCAGCTCTTTAAAACGTTTTTTAGCACATTTAAAAAAATATTTTCAAGTGAACATGGTTTGAAAGTATTTTTTGACATATTAAAAAAATATTCTTAATTCAATCTGATTAATAAATTCAAGTTTATTCCGGGAGTTCTGTCCCTATTAAATGCTGTAATCAATCAGTAAAACGTTAAGCATGAACTTGTAAACCAGACCAATGATGACACGAATGAACTGAAATATTTAATTGAATCCTAACATCAAATTTCAAATCAATGATCACGGGTAGTCTACTAATTGATCATTGAAGTCAGCACCCAGAAGTGACAGTTTGTTTCATGCTAAATGCAGTCGTCAGGCCATGGTGATTGCGTTTTGCAGAAAACAGACTGGGTGTTGACTTCATTGTTCACTTTTATATTTACATACGCTCTATCCCTGATATTTAACCCATAAATACAACATACCTTAAAACTATATTTCATCATATGGATGGACTCTCCCGTCAAGTTCGACGTATGAGGTTCCGACGACCACCTACTAATTATCTGCATGCCTATGACGGGCATGACTTTTGAGAGTGGCTCGAGAATTGCACAAACGATCACAAACAGTACAGGGAAAAGTATTGTATCCAAGTGCAGCAGGAGTCCTGTTAGTTTTTTTTTATTTCGTTTCCGTGTTTCACGCAGTCGGATGATGTTTACTGCTTGATGGTGCTTTATTCCTGCATGACAATTGGAACGATATTCTGATCTCCTCATAGCTACCTCTTCAAAGTTCTTGAATGGAATGTTGACGCAAGAAAGGTTGCTTTTCAGTTTATCTTTATACCTGAACCAAGTTCCCCCACCCCAAATTTCCATGACCACTACGAAGTTCACTGTAGAAAAGAACTTTTGGTATGCGATCATCACTCATCTTTGCCACATATATATTGTTTATTGATTTTGTTTCGTGGTGTATCAACCTCTATACGCGATTTAATATCGAAATCTAAATATTTTTAACACAATTTTATGGAATCAACTAATAAAATATATTTTGAACGAAAGCGTTTGTCTTGAGCTACAGAAAATTTATTGTTGGTAAAAAATTTTTATAAAAATATATTATTTTTATACTTTCATAGTGCTTTGTTTTTTGTTGGGTGGGGGATCACTATTTGCCCATAGTTGAGACCCTAACAGAATCTACCACCACATGTGAGGGTAGATCTGAAAACAACAGCAATTAAGAGGTGCTACCACGATGCTCAAAGCCTCCAATCTTCCGATGAGAGGCCTTGCTGCCGGATGTAGTTTATCGTCATAACCAGGGCTACTTGCACCAGCCAGCAAGCACACACACACACACACACACACACACACATATATATATATATATATATATATATATATATATATGAACAATGCACGAATCGATAAAAAGGATTTTTTTTCAGATTGTTCAAGGACAAAATCTACCCTTCTAAAAAATCTTAAAAGTGAAGCATGTGTACCCCTTGACACTGCTGCTTTCGTCTTCTAGGCTAGTTGGTGCTTTGCTAGGGACGACAGGAAACCGGCTTTTAGTCATATGATGGCGCAACTCGACATTCTCCCAGGCACGCGCCCGAGCATAATAAACGCATTACACACTCTTTTAAAGATACAAGCTGGGTCTATCACCTATTTTTCAAAAAGACCCACACCCAGTCACTCTCTTTTCTCTCTTCACTCTTTTCTCTCTCTCTCTCTCTCTCTCACACACACACACACACACACACACACACACACACACACACACACATACACACAAACACGCATATACATACTGCCACTTCATTAGAATCGAACACGGCTTTAAGTCTGGATGCAAGCGAGCGTACATTTTTACCTGCTCAGAAGAATCTTGCGTTTTTTTATTTTCACCTTCCCTGTCGCATAATTTTAAAATACATATAATTTTACTTTCGTTCACTTTCACACAAATGATCTTTGGAGAAGCATTAAGCTATGGGTAAAATAGTAGGGTAGACTGGGCTGTTAGACTGAGAGAGGGAGAGCTCTGAATTTAAAACCGCGGAGAACGTAACACAAAAAAAATCTCCACTATCTTTTCGAAGAATGTTTTGCAATTTGCGGAAAATAAAGAAAAGGAATTTGTGGAGAGTAATGATCGCCTACGTCTTGAAAGGAGATGCAAGTAAATTTATTTATCGCTTTTAAAAGGCTTATCTGTGACTAAAGATAGGCTTCTCATCATCAGGTATGCGCCGTCAGTATTTACTCAGGGTAGGCAGTTTGTGACCTTTATGTAGAAAATATACCAAAAAATAAAATATTTGCGTTTTATGCATAATGATCAGAGAAACTTTCATAATTTTGCTAGATTAGGCGCATATTGTGTGACAGAAGGAAAATGTAGCTGCTGACCTATTTTATTCAGGGTAGGCACTGCTTACCTTGCCTACCTAGACGGCACATCCCTGATATATATATATATATATATATATAGCTGATATCATTTAGATTGGCTCTTACAACATTTCGTCATTCCTGGCAAATTTTCTATTATCACTGTGTTGGATATCTAATAAAAAAAATTAAATTATAAATTCCCAGCATCCCTTGTTCGTGCGCATGTGTATCGCACCAACATAACAAATTTAGTCCGATGAACTCCTAAAGGATGAAAAGCGTCACGCGAAAACCTTTCCACTTTGTCATATATATATATATATATATATATATATATATATATATATATATATTATACACTGTTACTACTACAAAATTGTGCATTTTGTTTCGACGTTTAATAACAACGTCTCATCAGGTAGTTAACAATGATGGTAATAAACGATTAAATTTTCAAATTATTAAACAGCACCTTATAAATATTTATATATAATATGTACATATATATATATATGTATATATATATATAATTTCTATATATATTTTATATATGGGAGGTGCCATATATATATATATATATATATATATATATATATATATATATATATATATATTAGGAATTAATGCAATTTTATCTCTAATCCTACATTATTTCCTATTATTCTGACTCTAAACATTATTTTAATGGATACTCATGATGGTATTTATCAATCCACCCACGGGATCGAATGTGGCACAAGGCCTTTTTAATGTGGGTATCTCAGAGCCCGGAGGCCCAGCCAAAAATAAATAACAATCCAAACCCGCCGAGGCGGGCCAGTTCCGTCAACCTCCCCCAACGAAACCCTACCCTTCGGCGGAGCTTCGTCCGGGTTCCTCTCTGCAAGCAGAGAGTTCGACAGACACCCGACCCGGCAGCTCACAAAGCGCAGATACTACACTTTGATCCTAGCCACCGGGCCGAGCGGGTATAATGGATACTCATGATTGAGCAGATGCCTCACTTATTGTTTTATAAAACGGTGTGAATTACGTCTACTGGCCAGCGTATTTGAGAGAATAAAATGAATATGCTCTCTGGCTGGGTTAGTTTCACCTACAAAGTGGTCGTAGAAAGAGCGTTATAAGAAAATGTTTGAAGTGAAGTATGTACTTGCATGAAGCAGTAAAAAGCAAGCATAAAACTGTGAAATCAAATAGATGCGTTCTTTTTTTTTATTATCTATACCTGGCAGAAAGTGTCTTATATCTGGCCCAACTTAATTTTTTTTTCTTGTTTCATACAGATAAGTTGCTGCATATTCAGCTTTAAAATAAAAATCAAACTTTGAAAAAAAATTGGCAGAATTCGAACTTGGCCCCTCGATATCCCTTCAGGAGTTGCCAACTGCACACTATCCATAAAACATCTCTATCTATAAAAGACAGGATGTGTGTACGTGTGTAACGAATGCACGGCCGCAATTTTCGACGGATTTACACCAAAATTTACATGCACATGCTCCAAGTTAGCGTGAAGGCCAAGACCGACTTTGCATTTGACCGAGTGTTAACTAGCATGGTAGCATGGAAAAAAATCGATAGCTGCATTCGTCACAAGTGGGAAAAATTTAAATCTGCATGGCACTTTACTCCAATTGGCTCATTCGCTTGCTTAAACTCAACATTGATTCTGATTCCGCAGAACTGGGTTGGGTGTGAAAAAGTATTTGTTGTTAACATTCTTTTTTCATACGGTTTTTCCAGTTACGAGTCCTTTTTTTAAAAGCTGATCGTTTTGTGTTCATTTTGTTTAGTTCTTTTTTCGTAACAGATTTAATGTTTAGTATAGAGCTTAGAAAAAATTTGCAGTGTGAGATAGGTAAGAAGTAAGGCATGTAGAAACATCAGCACGGCAAAGGGCACTCCTTTAAAGGCAAGGAGGGGCAAAAATATTTTAAGTCAAGTGATAGCGATTGCTGTATGATTTTTGCATCAAGCACGGGCAACGCCGGGCCATGCTGCTAGTAGTATATAAAAGTAAAAAAATTTCCGTAAATATCTGTGCGTATCAAATTTGTACCCTAGAAATGTTTGAGCACATGGACATTTAAGCGATATGTATTACCCAGAGATTTAAATCACCGAAAACTACTTGAGCTATGTCCGCATTTTCGACAAAATTCTGTGTGTGTGTGTGTGTGTGTGTGTGTGTGTGTGTGTGTGTGTGTGTGTGTGTGTGCGTGCGCAGAGTTGAGGATTATTTTTGTTTGTTTTTATTTGTTTTTGTTTGTTTTTATCTCTGGTTGCTTTCCTTTCCACGTTCGGGCGAGTCATTCCATTCTGTCTAGTATTAATTACTGATTCCCTCCCACTCTCCCGCCCCTCCCCCACTTCAAAAAAATCTGAAATTAATCACTGCACTTTTCTGAAATCTTGTCGGCGACACAACGGAATACTCACGTGGCACACGTTGGGGGACTCACGAGCGAACACCCTCCTCGCCGGTGGCAAAAAAAAACGACTATTCTGTCTCTCTGAATTTCTTTCTCTCCTTCTTCACCTTCTCCTCCCCACCACCTTCCTCCGCCACTCTCTCTCTCTCTCTCTCTCTCTCTCCCTCCCTCTCTCTCTCTCTCTTACTCTTTCTTACCTTATGACCAACGGAGAAATTCTCTCACACACACTCTCTCACAGTTATGCATATATATGTGTGCAAAGACAGATAAAAACACTTGAGTCACAAATACAAGCACTTGAGTCTTATACATATATACACATATGCATATCAAGGGGTGCTGAAATGTTCTCGGCTGAACGCACTTTCCAAAACCCGACAAATAAACTCATTACTGGTCTTATGATATATATATATATATATATATATATATATATATATATATATATATAATTATTTATTTTTTAAAAATTATAATATAAATATGTTATAAAATCACTACAAAAATAGCCATTTTGTTTCAACAACCCCGGTGTCTTATCAAGTGATGATGTTGAATGTAAAATAAATGGTTTTAAAAGTTTCAAATTAATTAACAATCCTTCGCAAGGGGAAAACGTTGTTACAAAAGCAGCTTAGGTACCTCCACAAAAACGCGATACCTAATATTTAAAATGAATTTTTACAAATAAAAATATTTTCTTGAAGCTTTTATTTCAGTTTTAATTTCAATTTTTGATTTAAACTTTAATTAATTTGATCTGAAACAAATATTACTTATTTTCAGTTTAAAATATCACAGAAAGGCATTTTTAACACGGATATAGGTGTTTTCTTTAAGGTGTTGATCGCGTGACTGACAGACAGAAGTTCATCTAAATTTTTCGACGTGGGCATATCTGTAAAAATTACTTGAGACATCACCTAATCGGTACCAACTAATATATAAATTTAAAAAATTTAAAACTTTATAAATTATTCTACTTAATTTTTTTCAAAAAAAATTCTTGTAAAAATTCATAATTCATCGAAAAAAAATTCTTAAGAAAATATTATACATAATACATCTTATTCACAAAAGCAATTGAAAGCTTTTCTAATTAAATAATGTCTAAGTTTTATTGCATTGTGAATTTTACGATTCAAAGCAGATTTGTAACTGGGGTCCTGTTTTCCAAAAAAAAAAATGGATGATTTAAATTCTCCAAGGTGTTCTACATATAATTAGTATAAATATTAAATGCTTCAAAATTTCATAAAATTAAATAAATTGCGGGTGGGTGGGGAACAGATGTAAGAAAAAATATCCTTACCAAGATTTTCTAAAAAAAAGAAAACATTTGTAACATAATTTGTGAGTAAGTCCTGAAAGTTTAATTATTTGATTTTAGCGAAGAATTTCCAGATATATAAGATTTTCACCGTAAGAAAAGACGTTAAAATTTCTCATACTAATCTTTGGTCCCTCCGTTCGGGGACTTACGAGCGAACACCCTCCCCGCCGGCGGCAAAAACGACTATTCTGTCTCTCTGTATTTCTTTCTCTTCCTCTTCTTCTTCTCGCCCCACCACCTCTCTCTCTCTCTCTCTCTCTCTCTCTCTCTCTCTCTCTCTTACCTTCTGACCAACGGAGAAATTCTCACTCTCTCATATATGCATATATATGTGTGCATGTGTGCAATGACAGATAAAAACACTTGAGTCACAAATACAAGCACTTGAGTCTCATACATACACATATGCATATCAAGGGGTGCTGAAATGTTCTCGGCTGAACGCACTGTCGAAAACCTGACAAATAGACATAAACCTGACGCAAGAAAAACAAGATTTTTAACCAAAATTTCTAAAATGGATCAAAACTATAATTTAATAATCACAAAATCCATTGCTCTTTCCTGTTAAAAATAACATAAAGATTTTGACGATAAAAATAAGAGCATTTTTGTCATCATAGTATGCTCAGTTTTTGGCGAATCTGTGGATACATATTAGAAAGTTCCTTTTGAGTTCATATGAAGTGGGATGAAAAGAAAGTATGTCTATTTTATTTAATCCGCCACCGATACATTTCCAATACTCTTGACTTCCCCCTTCCCCTCCGCCTCCTCCTCACCTTCTACCACACCTCACGTCGTGCGCTTATTCATTTACTTATTTATATATTTATTTATTAAAAAAATATAACGTTCCGGAAATCGCCTGAAGATACCGAAAGGTTTGAAACCAAGGTAGCAGAATTGACTGATTTTCTAATTTTTCTATATTAAAAGCTCTACATGTTAAATTTTTATATGTGTATTGAGTACTTTTTAATGCTACTGTTTCCAGGTCTAATTCAGCTCTGACCATTAAGTTTTATTATTATTATTATAATATATATATATATATATATATATATATATATATATATATATATATATATATATATATATGTATGTATGTATGTATGTATGTATATATTATTATTATTGTGTTATTATATGTGTGTGTGTGTGTTTGTGTGTGTGTGAGAGAGAATGTGTAGCAAGTGAGGGGGTGAGAGAGTGATGCGTGCATATATATGTATGGATGTACTTATATATATATATATATATATATATATATATATATATATATAATAATTTTTTCATTAAATATTAGCTCTGTATTCATTGAGCTCTCAGGATTTCATCCTCCTTGGAATTACCCATTCGGTTTACCAAGTTCTTCGTAACTTAAATATATATATATATATTTATATATATATATATATATATGTATGTATGTATGTATGTATAGACATGTTATATGATAAAAAGGTGGGAAACGTTCATCAGTCTAACATGTTTCCCTTTTATTAAAGCATCATCTTTATTTGAGCCCATGTATGTGTTATATGTGTTTCTTCGCCCATGAACAAAGCAAAGTTCTACACAATATATATATTCGAGAAATCTTATTAAAGGAAAAGATGATGGAGAGTGGATCTTTTTCTTTCATAAGATTTCTCATATGTATAGGTAGATAGATAGATGATATCAAATCCGTTAAGTGGAAAGGATAATCCAAGTAGGTCATTTTAATATAAAATATAAAAAGATGGATCCATAAAGCTCAATGTATAGTATACAGAGCAATATCATATAAATGAAACAAAAACTTAACGCATCATCGAAAACACAGTTATAAATTATAATTTATTTCAAGTTTTTAATCTCCGTCTCATCAGACCGAAATTACAAATAGTTTAAATTTACAAAATGGTTTAAATTTAAATTTATCCAGAATATTGTAATAAAACAAGATAACAGGAAATCCAGACATCCAAAGTCTTAGTGTGTGGGCTGTACTTATCAAGTCAATTTTTTGTATTTCTCTTAAGCTGAGATTTTCCAGTGATTTTTTCAGTGTGTTGTTGTGTTCCTTTTTATCCTTCTAAGCGCACCTACTATGAATTGGTGCTATTCTTGTTTCCAATTTCCATAAATATACCAGACTGCTAGCCATTATCGTCTCGACTGCTGTTTGCCACAAATGTCTACAACTACGTCTGTGTGTTTTCCTTAAATAGGCATTGACATTCTCTGTCATGCTCTCTTTCTATTTTTCTCTTACACGGAATTAAGGAATAGGTCGCAAGTGGATATCACACACCGGGGAACGTACACACACATGCATGCACGCACGCACCTTTCCTACACCAAACTTCATACACACAAACACATTCTCTAGTTTAAATGTTTTCAGCGTTCACATATCATTGTTGTGCCACCAGCAACAGTCATTCCAGCTCACTGTCATTCCTAGCATACAACTTTATGTCAGCCATGTAAAATAGATGGGTTATTTTCTTTTGAAATTTCTTATAGCCATATTCCATCTTGTTAAATTCATTGGTTAATGCTATTAGTGATATACAAAATAGCAAGGAAGACAAAGAGTCACCTTGAAATATTCTTCTGTTGACGTTCATTTCACCAGACTTATAGACGCCATTTATATGATTGAGGTGAAGTGTTGTTTTCCATATCGATATACATTGTTTGCTGAAATTGATGACGACCTTGTATATATATTTTAAAACTTTAAGATCCAGGAATGCGGTACACTATCGAATGCCTCACGGTAGTCTATTAAGGCAGTACAGATTTTTATTTGTATTGAAGTAGTTTTCCAAGATCATCCTATTAATAAGTAATTGTTTTTACATCCGGAAGAGCCACGTTTCCACCCTTTTGTTCAAGAAGAAGTATGTCATTTTTTTTTCTAAGAAGGGATATATCTGTTTTGTCAGAATGGATGTCAACAGTTTGTAAGTAGTGGGAAGACATGTAATTGGTCTGTAGTTTTTAGAACATTTGTGTCACCATTTTTGGGTAGAAGGACAGTTATTCTTTCGGTTATCCATGACGTTACTTTGGTAAAATCATTGATCATTTCTTGAAGTTCTTTGCCTAGTTTTTTTTCTGTGCTGTATTTAGATAACAGAGCCAAAAATTTGGAATTTTATCTATTCCTGGAGATTTCCAGCCGTGTGCTTTTTTCAGTGCACATTCGACATCCTCTTCTGTGATTCCCGCCCATACTCGTTCTGATTTATTTTTCATCTGTTCTACCTCTTGCGTAATTCAATCTGCTTCTTTGTTATGTTCTTTAGAACAAGCCCATTTTTTTTCTAAAATTTTATAACATCTTCCATTGTTGATGGGGGAGGGTCACCTCAATTTTTTTTTTTTTTTTTGCCTATTTCTCTGTAAAATTTCTTCGCATCAGTTTGAAAGATTTTGTTCTCTCTGTAGAATCCTGATCTTTTTTCATAGCGTCTGTTTCTTTGAACCTTCAGTTTTATTGTTTTCTTTCTTTATTTTTTTTTTTAGCTGATAGGACTTTATTTTCATTATTAATTTTGTATTTTCTTTTGACTTTTCTAGTACTTACATTTGTTCCTCTTGCCAGTTCATCGAGTATTGATAATTCACTTGTAAGTTGTTCAATTACTGTTATAACTTGACTAATGCATGGAATAATAATGCAACACAAAATGTACTTAGCACAAAATGTATTGAAACAAGGAAGTGTACACAATATTTACATATATTTTGTATATTCCTGGTAAGACCGTTCCTGGAGAATGTGTTGACTTAGTCGCAGTCGGGCAGAGTCTCTGGTTGAATCTCTTGATTCCTCCCTCTCTTCCCGGTACCAACCATATTTATATGGTCGGTACTCCACTATGAAAATTAGGTGGATCCTACCACAACAATTACTTTCTCTATTTTTCTTTTCCAAGCATTCTTCATGTCTGTGAGACTACCTTTTTCTACTCTGATGTTTAATTTTTTATTTGCTGCTATTGATGATGCATATATTGCTTCTTATATGTGGGTCTACTTCACCCAGAATTTAAATGCTACAGTTTAATAATTTTGAGGTCCTGCTTTTATGGTTGTAATTTTGTCAGTTGATCTCGTTCCTCCATTTCAATATTTTGTGTCTGACTTATATGTCTTCCTTGGCTTCTTGCGTACTATTCTTGTTTTCAGTAAAATAATTCGGTGTTTTGGACTCGTTTTCTTGCAAGGCTCGTCAGCGACTAAGATCACTCCTTTTCAACTTTTCTAAACTTTCATCATCATCTTTACAATAACTGGTGTGTATCTTAGTTTTAGTGTGATGCTAGTACTTTCTATCTCCATTTCTTGTTCCCTTTCATGTTCTCTTGATTCGCCTATTTTGGCTGCGGTACTTTTTAATTCTTTAATTTAAGCATCTCTCAATTAGTTATTTCTTATGATGTACCGTCTTACGTTAGTATTCTGACCATGAGACCCGGGTTCGAATCTCACTATGGTCGATTTGTCAGGACGGAGTCTTCCTGATGTTATCCAACAGGAGAGTTCGATCCCAGCGTGCGGCACATTTGGAAAGTTCCTGAAAATCATACCACGGGATAACCCAAGCCTTGTTAGTGAAATTGGATAGATGGAACTCTTGGGTGCCGTCGATAGCTGTGCGAGCACGAAGTCACAAGTCATCGTGGCCGAGGGCCTGAACGTGCTAACCTTGTTCAAATTTTTGATCACGCTAGATAACACGCTCTTTCCCAGAAACTGTTGCAATATAAACCACAGGTGGACTTTGTGGGTGTTGAATAAACACAAATGCGCCTGAGCAAACGAATGCAATAGGGATTGGCTAGCTGCCCTAGTAGACGGATATCCTCGAGTACGAGGGGTCAGCTATACATATATACCTTCTTACAGTGGTTAGTTTATTTTCGTCAATATACTTTCTGAATGGTTGTTCAACCTTTTCTCGCTAAATGTCATATTTAACGAGTGATGCTTTTCTGAGGTTTGTACAACGCTTCATAGAATGCAGACATAACGAGTTTGTACTAACCCCCACAAGACCATCTTACCATTTCTGCGTTTTAATGAATGGTTGTGGATTGGATCTAGTTGTAGAATTCGCACGGCGATCATTGAAATTATCCTGGTTGTGAAACGTTTATTTTTAGTGGATACCTTAGATTACATACCCAAAACACATTAAAAAAAATATTTAAATTTAAATATCGTCTCTCGTTCGTGCGCATATGTAGTCGCAACAACATAAACAAAATTAGTCTGATGAAGTCCCAAAGGATGAAACGCATCACACGAAAACCTTTTCCAATTTGTCATCTCACCCAAAGTCTGAAAGAAACCTCAACAGAATGCAGAAAGCACTTGACGGCTGTTTCGTCCTATATAATTTAATCATAATTATCAAATCCTCCTAATAATTTCTATCATTTGTATATCATTGCTTGGAACCGACTTCTAATGCTCATGATATTCAGTAAGCAATTTTTTATAACAGTATTATTATATATATATATATATATATATATATATATATATATATATATATATATATATATATATATATATATATATATATATATATATATATATATATATAACACTTCCATTTCTCTACGGCATATGATTTCACTGAATTTTGATGCGTTCCTCCTGAATTTTAAACTGGGGTCATCAGGAGAGAATGTGCACCGTTTCGGGGCCTTCCTCTCAACAGTTTCAGTTGCACACCGGCCCCCCCTCACTGATGTGAGGCCCCATTATAACGATATACAAGTGTTGTCGATAAACTAGTTCAAATGTGTAACGGCGAAATTAAATTTACGAAAATTCCGAAAAACGGCAAACCTCGCGTTCTGAGAATGCAACGTGAACCTCATTACGCATTCACGATCAGACATGTCATGCCGTCATGTTCGCTGAAACACTCCACGGAGTATTTCGTTTTTTCCATATCCACATAGAACTATTTTCTGTTATATATATATATATATATATATATATATATATATATATATATATATATATATATATATAAAATGATGATGGTGTGATTGGTTACCATCATTGTTAATTACCTGAAGAGACGTTTTATTTAAAACAAAATGTTAATTACCCGAAGAGAAGTTTATTCGAAACAAAATGTACAATTTTGTAATAATTACTGATATGTTTTAATGTAACAGTGTATAAGAAATATGTATGTATGTGTGTGTGTCTAATGCTGATTTAATTAACTTTAATTTCGTTACTTGCAAAAGTAAATCTGTGAAAGATATAAATTTTATTCCAGTCTGAAGCAACGTGATAGAGTCGCCTTGACAGAATAACTCGCATATAAATCTACTTATATGACAATGCTTTTATTATCTTAGTGGATGTGTGTGTGTTTTATATGCGTCTGTGGTTATGACCCTGCACATGTGTTTTTGGATAAGGTTGGCAACAACACCAGAAATACCAGTTGTACAAGTTGTATAAACCGGGATGCAGTGGATCGAAACTGACACCCGCCAGCCTAAAAAGAACGAAAGTATGAAAAATATAGTAGGGAGTTAACTAAAAAGATATGAATAAGAAAGAAAGAAAATTCAGTGAAAAGGAAAGGGGAATATAAATGAAGATTCTAACGGAAGAAAATGAAGAAAGTGATGAGTTAAAGTCAAAGAATAAATCCCAGAAGAACAGAAGAAAGAAAGAAAGAAAGAAAGAAAGAAAGAAAGAAAGAGAACGGAAGGAAGGAAGGAAGAAAGGAAGAAATGGAGGAAGGAAGGAAGGAAGGAAGGAAGGAAGGAAGGAAAGATAGAAAATTTAGTGATGAAGGAAAAAGGAAGTATAAATTGAGATTATAACGAATGAAAGTGACGAAAGTAAGGAATGAATCCCAGAATATTATAAAACAGAAAGAAAAGAAAAAAGAAAAAAGAGGAAGGAAGGAAGGATAGAAGGAAGGAAGGAAGGAAGGAAGGAACAGATTGGGGAAGGAAGGAAGGAATGAATGGAAAAATGGAGGCAGAAAAGAAAAAAGGAACAGAGTGACGGACAAAGAAATGGAGACAGGAAGAAGTAGATTTAGTCAGGAAAGAAGATGTGGGGAGATGAAGGATGAAATGAAAGAAGGAAGAGAGTGACATGCAAAGAAAAGTAAAGAGTAACAAAGGAAGGAAGGAAGGAAGGAAGGAAGGAAGGAAGGAAAACAGGAAGGAAGGAAGGAAGGAAGGAAGGAAAGAGGAAGGAAGGAAGGAAGGAAACAAAGGAAGGAAGGAGGGACAAAGGAAGGAACGAAGGAAGAAAGAAGGAATGAATGAATGAATGAAGGAAGGAAGGAAGGAAGGAAGGAAGGAAGGAAGGATGGATGGATGGATGGATGGATGGAACGGAGGGAAAGAAAGACGAAGGAAGGAAGGAAGGAACAAAGGAAGGAAGGAAGGAAGGAAGGAAGGAACAAAGAAAGAAAGAAACAAACAAACAAAAAAGGAAGGAAGGTGGGACAAAGGAAGGAACAAAGGAAGGATGGAAGGAACGAAGGAACGAAGGAAGAAAGAAGGAATGAATGAATGAAGGAAGGAAGGATGGATGGATGGATGGATGGATAGATGGATGGATGGATGGATGGATGGATGGAATGGAGGAAAGAAAGACGAAGGAAGGAAGGAAAATAAGGAAGGGGAGAAGGAGGGATGAAAGAAGGGAAGGAAGGAAAGACGGTAGGAAGAAGGAAGGAAGGAAATTTAATTGGAACGAGAATGAACCATAAATGCAGAATCTAAAGAAAGATAATGTGGGACGCAATGATTTAAAGTAAAAAAAAAAATCAGTAAATGCTAAAAAAGAAAAGAAAAATAGAAAGAAAGAAAGTGTTGAAAAGGAAAGAAATAAAGGAGATAGGATGAAAAAGAAAGAAAGAAAGAAAGAAAGAAAGAAAGAAAGAAAAACCGAAAATTAATAACCGTCATCCTGACGCCACATAGTCGCTTTCACGTCTCTGTTTTTAGTCTTTATTTACTGGGATTTTTTTCTTTTCCTATTAACCTATTGTCTTCTTTCCCTTTATTGTCTGCCGAAGTTTCTGACGCATTCGTCAATATCGCAAGGAGACATACGCACACGTCAGCCGCTGGCTATTCCAATTTTACCTTGTACACCTTGCATTTATTAGGGAAAACATAACGTATACAAATATTGTTCAACGCTTCTTCCGAAGCCTTGATCTGTGGGAACAGACCCCAACAGAGACAAAGTGTCATCTTGGAAGAAGACAACGACACCTGGGAGTAGAAAATTTTTACTACCAAGTGTGGCATGATGGTTTGGTTTTAAATCTGAAGGCTAACTGAACACCGAGAGGGCAGGAGTTCAAATCTAATTAATGTATTAATTCAGCCATTGTAGATATTCAAAGTATAGACAGATTTAAATTTCACGATAAAGCAAAGAGATTCCGTTCTAATAATTCTAAACATTTGATACACGGAATTATTAATGGGTGCTAGTTTCAGGATACGCATAGCTGAATATTTAGAATGTAAGCGTTCGATCCATGAGACCCGGGTTCGAATCTCGGGTGAATTCGTCAAGGAGATGACTTCTTGTTAATATCGTAATAAAGAGATGATTCCAGATCGTGACACCTTTGGGAAGTCCCTGAAAGCGCTAACTGAATTGTTCGTATATCCCCCATGGGGATCAGTCAAATTGGTGACCTTTTGAGAAAATCGTTCTGTAGAGATTATCTCAGCACCGTTGGGAAGTACCTGAAAACCCTACCACGAGTTTACCCAAGTTTTAAGATTGGAATTTGGCAGATTAAGATGTTCGGAAACCGTCGACGTTAATGGAGGAGATAGGAGACGCCGCTCGTGTTATTCAATAGTAACTCGTCGATATTGTTAATAATATGAGATCCAGGTTGCCGTCTGCGAATCAATGAATATCCTTTAGGAACAGTCGAAGAGGCCAGTGCCAAGAAGGAGAAAGTTTCGGGATACCTCTGTCGCAGAAAATAGACAGACAGAAAAAACTGTATAAGTGTGTCTGACCACTGCAGTAGCACTACTGTTAACTTTTTCGCAAGCTAATTCGCTAATATAGCGAATTCAGTCCTCATTGAAAAACTCACTCATGGCCTTGTACCAAACACAACTAATTTTAGTAAATGGCTGCTTGGTTACGTGTGTGTGTACTAGCTCGCTTATATTCGATTTGATTTGATTTGTTATTGACGGCTTATCAACACTTGGAAAATTATTTAAAGCCAGAAAATATTTTTAGATTGTAAGACGCTTTTTTTTCTTTTCCTATTAACCTATTGAGTGGAGGGAGATAATAATGGTTTAGTGATACACGTCTTACTAATTAATAGCTGGGGGTTGAAGAGCTGGATTCATAACTCTTCCAAGTGGTATTTGCGCGTAACTGAATATAACAAACCCAAGAGGAATGGAATTCGGATCTCCGATGAACAATTACGAGCCATTATCCATTACACCACCCGCACATGCAAGCTTACAGCACCTGGTATTCCCAAACGGTCACCCATCGAGGTAATGACCAGGCTTCGGTGTTACTTAACTTTGATGTTCGTATGGGAACCGGTGTTACAAGGTGATTTGGCCGCAACCCGTTATATTCTGGATGGATCAATAAATCCACAGGCAAACGCGCAGTTACGAGTTGATTTTTAATCTGAAATTTTCGCTGTATAATATTCAATCGATCTTATTAATCTTCACCATTGAATTAAGTGCATTGACAAAGAAGACGTCCATGTTTAAAAGTAGATACTTCCGAAGCCTTGATCTATGGGAACAGGTCCCAAAAGAGACTGTGTCATCTTGGAAGAAGACGACACCTGGGGCACCTTGTATAATAAAAAATTGATACAAGTATTTTGCTATTGAGAATGTAGGTGTATATGTGATTGTAAAAAGATGTTTAGGGTGTTCAAGCTGTGAGGAAGTGTTTAACATGCTATTCTTCCAGACTTATGGATGGATTCTCGCGTCGAGTTCGACGTATGAGCATCCGACGACCAGCTACTAATTATCTGCATGCCTATGATGGGCATGACTTTTGAGACTGGCTCGAGAATTGCACAAAAGACCACAAACAGTACAGGAGAAAGTATTGTATCCAAGTGCAGCAGGAACACTGTTAAATGTCTTATTTTGCTTTCTCGTTTCATGTAGTTAAACGATGGTTACTTCTCAGTAATACATATATATATATATATATATATATATATATATATATATATATTAACAGACTAAGATAGATAGATAGATAGATAGATAGATAGATAGATACCGTATAGTACAACCGCTGAATGTTTTGAAAAACCTGATTTTTTTATATAGTTCGTTTATAATGCGACCCCGGCTTCTGAGACTAGTAGGCCTACTGTAGTCAAATATTGTAGTACTGGGCATCATCGTGGATATATTTTACAACAAATATAAATGGTTTTCATTCTCTTTTGTATAAAGACACCCAAAAAGATGATAAAAAACACTCACCGTAAAATATCTGATACAAAGATTTAGATAATGTTTTTTTTTTCGTTTGTTTACTTTCATGATTGATATATACGCACTTCAAAAAATACCTGTTTATAATGCAACAACCTATTTTTTACGTACAAAATGATCATAAAAACTCGTACTGTACTCGAGTATATACGGTACATAGATAGATAGATAGATAGATAGATAGATAGATAGATAGATAGATAGATAGATAGATAGATTAGAACGTGCTCAGATAGATAGATAGATAGATAGATAGATAGATAGATAGATAGATAGATTTAAACGTGCTCAGATAGATAGATAGATAGATAGATAGATAGAGATAGATAGATTTAAACGTGCTCAGATAGATAGATAGATAGAGAGAGAGAGAGAGAGAGATTAGAACAGGCTTAGATAGATAGATAGATAGATAGATAGATAGATAGATAGATAGATAGATAGATAGATAGATAGAGATTAGAACAGGCTTAGATAGATAGATAGATAGATAGATAGATAGATAGATAGATAGATAGATAGATTAGAACGGGCTCAGATAGTTAAAGAGAGAGGAAGAGGGGGTCGTTCTTATTTAATAAAACCATTTACACTGTGCTATATCTGAGTCAGCAGATGTTTGATATTCTTTTCATAAAAAAAAATTACCTTCTCCTCCTTTAGCAGGCACAAGACCAGACGAAATGACTCTGCACAAAAGCACAGTATTGCTGTTTGATGACACACATTGCAGTCTAACTCCCTCACGGCAAATTAAGAACCTCTGCAATGCGATCCTATGTTAAATATCGAATGATCCAAACGAGGAGTGATTTATTAATAAACTTGCACTTTCCGCTCTATATGCAATACTTCTGCATTCATTAGAGATTGCAATTTAAAATTCTCTTACATAACCGCACATACACATGCATATGTTGCATCAAACGGATTGCTCAGATATTAATTTCTCAGAATCATGAATCTTTTGTTGCTTTCTCAACTTTTGTTTCTCTAATTCTGTTGGGTGTCATCTTTGAAAAGAACTATTAGTACCACAGCATGTAATTTCATTTATTTATTAAATCTAGCATCAAGATAATAAAATCAAAACCCTTTTTGGGTGAACAATAGGACTAGTTTCTTCTGTCGTCCGCTTCACACTTTACCCTATTTACATTATTCGGACTATTGTCCTCATCTTTGTTACCATATTTCTCACAACGTTTCGGCCGTTGTACGCTCCGGCCTTCTTCAGGTGGTTGGAATGTCGAACTTCGTTCGCTGAGGTAGGCTGTTCTAGTTCCACGTGTCATGTCTAATCGATGTCACTTATCAGTTATCTCCTGTTAATTCCCCTCTCCAAGTACAACGGCCGAAACGTTGTAATAAATATGGCAACAAAGATGAGGACAATAGTCCAAATAATATAAATAGTATACATAATACCACATCTCAGAAATATAGACAGATACCGAGAAGAGATTTATCCCTTGTTTCTTGTTTAGGATTGGGAGTCCGGTTCCTTCTAAATTATTATCATTCTCTTTCATTTCCAGTTGAACATTGCGTCTTGAGTGAAATGATTATAAAAAAAAAAATCAGTCCGCAAAAATTCATCCAAAAAACTTCAGCCGACAAGTTCTGTCGATTTAAATTTTTATTGTATTTTTCCAACTTTCAAATATGACATTATTTATCCAAATCAAAATTGTAGGTAAACTGTTCGAAATATACACAGTATATTTAGATATTACCTTTACCTCGTGTCCTGTATAATATTTTGGTATTATCTACTAAAACTTGTATTATACTGATAGATGTATTTTGGCTGTATTGTGATATGTCTACTGAGATGGGTATGAATTGCACTAAGTTCCGACAAGTGACAAGTTAACCTACGAGAGCGTGTAAGAATTTAATCTTGCATTAAAGGTACCATCTCCCAAAGGACACAGACAAGCGTTGTTTGTGTGCGTGAGGGCAGACGAAATCAATGAATTGTTAGCAGAATTAATGCAAGATAACCTTCCAAGATGAACGATTCCTAACAGTAAATAAATCAATAAAATGCAACATCTTTTTTCTTTTATGGGGGTAGGTAGTCATAGCTTTCTGTAACCTCCTGTCGCTTGTTGCTCTATGAAACACTTAACTCTTTACCACCCCGTTTTGTTCCCTCTCCACTTTTCATTTACAAAAAGTCTTTTAGGTCGTTCACTAGCCGTTTCCCTTTGTACTTCCTGTCCTGTGATGACCAAATTCTTCAAACCCTCTTTCATCATTACGCGCTCTAGAAATGTCAGAAGTCTCTTTCTGGTTCTAGGTGCAAGTGCCTTTTTCGCCTTCATTTTCCTTAAAACTTACACGTTGCTCACGTCTATGATATTTTCAGCATCCATCTGTAGATCCAAATCTCTATTGCCTCAATTCTCCTGTATCTGTGAATAAATTATCCTGTATTCAGTGCCATATAGGAGATTAGATATTACAATCTACCACATTTTCCTTGTTTTCTAAGGATATTTTTTTATTCCAATACTTTGCTTTTGGAAGCCATCTTTCGCTATTCCTACGTTTCTTCTGATTTCTGTATCCCACTTTCTGTCGTCTACGCAAATATTTAAATTGTTTGATTTGACGTCCCCAGTTCGTAGCTCACAATGTCTCTTTTGCTGACGACCATGTATTTTTTGTCTTACAGTTAATAGTGCTTTCTTCTTGCTTTTCAATACTATCTTGTCTAATAGTTCTTTCAATTATCCCTTCTGAGTCTAAGATTTTAATTCACCACGACAAAACATGTATATGTTAAAACCTCCAATCAATTAAGATAAGAAGGCATGAGAGCCATGCCTGGTGTAGCATCAGGACATTTATCATTATTATAATTATTACTGTTATGTTTTGACTCTGTGATGTTTGTTACGAGTACCACCAAAGTCTCAACCGAAGACTTCAAGTGACAACAATTCTTTTTTTTTGCATCAGAAGATACAAACAGGTGTAATTTTGGTCATTGCATGGAGATAAATATACACACGATGTGAGAATTACTCATATGTTTTGTTTTGTTTTGTTTTTTGTTTTTTTTTTACAATTTCCATATATTAGGGCTACCGGGAATTTGGTCCACATATTTATTTGTTCCTTTTGATATTATAATAATAATAATATTAATAATAATAATAATTATTATTATTATTATTATTATTATTATTATGTTGTTGTTGTTGTTGCTCTTCTTCTTCTTCTCTTCTTCTTCTTCTTCTTCTTCTTGAGGCATGGTGTCAACAAAACTCCTTACAGCTCAAGAACTTTTCAGAGAATCCTCGCAGATTCAATGGCAACAGTTTTTTTCTACAATCTTAGTTTCAATTGCAATTTTCAGTAAGCTCTTTTTGAGTTTTCTAGGTGATGTTCCAAGCGCTCATTATTAAAGTTCTACATTCATGTTGCATAGGTTCTTCTAGCTTTTAACTATTATTATTATTATTAATATTATTATTATTATTATTATTATTGTTGTTGTTGTTGTTGTTTATCATTATTCTGGTCTCTCCGTTCCTTAATTAGTGCATACGTAACGACCTGTCAATATCTCATAAATAATAGACTGTTCCATTCTGATCGCGAGGAAAACTGGAAAAGACATATCAGAAACGCTGTTTGGTTTTAGTGCAGAAAGAAAGAAAGAAAGAAAGAAAGAAAGAAAGAAAGAAAGAAAGAAAGAAAGAAAGAGAGAGACAGAAAAATGAGGCGATAATGATCTCATATGTTTAACGTCTGGGGCACCTCGACGAAGAATTATGATTCATAAAAAAAAATGAAAATAAGAAACCCGCAGGTTTTGCTTTATTTGTAAATTTATTTTAAGCGGGAAAGTGATTTTTAGTGAAAAAAAAAACGTCACAATACTAATGAAAAATCCACGAAGCAGACATGATTTATTAGATAAGAGAAAACATCTCGACATTGTTAAGTCGTGGGAGAATGGAAATTGATCGAACAAGATCCCATCCAACAGTTTGGGAAAAAGAAACAAAGATTGTCTCATGACTATTGTGACAAATATATTTACATTTACACTCACATTGCAATAAGTAATTGTAATAAGTAAATACATAGTGGACTCTCTCGTCGTATTCAACTCATGAGGGTCAAGCAGCTCAGTTCCTAGGAACTGACAGCCCAGACACCAGTATATATGATTTGATTACCGGGGTGAAGGTTTTGTGCAGGACCAACCACACTTTTTGAAGGGCCGATTACAGAGACCTGATGCACTACGTGCCAAAAGGTTCCCAAACGACCTTCCGCAGGTTTTGAATTCAGAGTTGTCCTTCTCCTAGATCAGTTGCCATCCAAGGCTATAGAACCCAGTCTGTTCTGCTATTTACCCATAGCTGGAGGGAGAAAAAGAGGATTAATACCTTTTTCAAGGGTATTAGCACATGAGTGAATGTAATGGATTCGACTGGAATTCGAACTCTTCATATATATATATATATATATATATATATATATATGCCCTCCACATATATATATGTGAGTGTTTTGTGTGTGTGTTTCTATATCTCTGAGATGAGATATCATGATTACTTACATTATTCGAACTGTTATCCTCATTTTTATTGACATATTCACAACATTTCGGCTGTTGTACGCTCCAGCCTTCTTCAGGTGATTGGAATTTCGAACCGAACCCTTTATTTCGACCACCATGATAGATTGTTCTAGTTCTACGTGCCATGCCTCTTGCGAATGTCTCACTTATTTCCCTTTAACTCGACTCTCCAAGTTTTTGGTTCACCACCAAGAAAATACATATTCATAACTTATACAATACATTCATATTCGTCAATAAATGTTGGCTATTTCGTTGAATTAGTAAGAATTAAAAATCATTATTTTCTACTGCTAGATTAAAGAAAATATTGCATTACATTTAAAAGTTTATCTGATTTGGTAATAAAATATGCGTATGGATAACAGAACGGGGAAAAGGAGGGTGGTAAAGAGTCAAAAGTTGCTTACCACTATAAAAGGCTGGAAGCAGTGGAGAGCTATGATGTGTCACCGAACATAAAAGAAGAGGATTAACCCAGATAGATAGATAGATAGATAGATAGATAGATAGATAGATATTAACAGACTAAGATAGATAGATAGATAGATAGATAGATAGATAGATAGATATGAACATACTAAGATAGATAGATAGATAGATAGATAGATAGATAGATAGATAGATAGATATTAACAGACTAAGATAGATAGATAGATAGATAGATAGATAGATAGATAGATAGATAGATCGATAGATAGATATGAACATACTAAGATAGATAGATAGATAGATAGATATTAACAGACTAAGATAGATAGATAGATAGATAGATAGATATGAACATACTAAGATAGATAGATAGATAGATAGATAGATTGATAGATAGATAGATAGATAGATAGATAGATATGAACATACTAAGATAGATAGATAGATAGATAGATAGATAGATAGATAGATAGATAGATAGATAGATATGAACAAGAAAGAAAGAAAGAAAGAAAGAAAGAAAGAAAGAAAGAAAGAAAGAAGTGTAGCGGAGGCAACATATTTTCATTTACGTCTATTTCCACATATATATCCAAACCAGTCACAGTCAAGCTGGTACGTAGAGACACATAGACTTAAAAAAATAGAATAAAAACGCACTTATGTACACTGACTCACTCGGGATTGAACCTTTGAAGCTATGCGGTCTTTCAACACGACTCCTGTCGTGTGTTCATGTTATAATAGTCTAAGTATTGTCTTTCTTTGGAGCCGTCAAACGGCAGTCATATCATGTTACCTGACGCTACCTGTCGGGCCCTCCATCGTCTTTCCCGTTTTCCAGGGCTTATTAAAAGATATTACATTACCCGTAGGGCGCAAGAGGCGACAAAGTCACGTCTTTGTCAACGTGAAAACTATGTTTGTTTTACTTTCTTCTATTTACTTGTGCCGGCAGACATTTTTTTTCATCACTCCCACCAATGGCCATTACAAAATACGTAAGAAGAGGAGGGTCAGAAAAGGACGTGTTTTTGTAGATTTGTATTCTGAGAATGATCCGTCGAAAAAGGAAGGTCAGAGGTCAGAAAAAGTCGGGTAAAAAAAAAAGAATTAACCGAAAATTTGGCAAAAATGAATTGCAAACTTATTTCCTCTCTCTGCGTTTTTACTTATTTATTTATTTATTCGAAAGAAGACGAGTGTTTGGATAAAACGATTTTTGACAGTGTTTACCAATAGAGATAGTGAAAATAAGAAATCTGTCGATGCGATTGTTAATTGATTTGTTTTTTACGAGTTATCAACCCTTTCGTGGGTTATTTAAAGTTGAAAAATATTTTTTTTGATTAATTAAGAATAATTATTTTTTGCGAGTGGATAATGCATTAACAATCTTTTGAGAATAACAATGTGTTTTGCCAAGAAAAAATCCTACTATTTAACCCATACCTGGGGAAGGAAATAGATTTAAACCTTTCCCATGGGCATTGGCTATAACGAACCCGGTGGGAATTCGACTCGGCGCTGCAATTTCGCATTGCGAGCCGCTATCCATTACACAATTTTGTCGCTCTCCTTTTGACGATCTATCTATCTATCTATCTATCTATCTATCTATCTATCTATCTATCTATCTATCTATCTATCTCATTCTGCTCAAATCTATCTATCTCAATTTGTTGGTATCTATCTACCTATCTATCTCAGTTTGTCGATATCTGTTTCTCAATCTGTCTGTCTATCTGTCTCAGTCTCTTAATATCTATCTATCTATCTATCTATCTATCTATCTATCTATCTATCTATCTATCTCTCTCTCTCTCTCTCTATATATATATATATATATATATATATATATCTGAATCTGTTGATATCTATCTATTTATTTGTCTCAGTCTGTTGATTTCTATCTATTTCAGTCTGTTGATATCTATCTTCACTTTCTATCTCTTTTTTCTGTGTATATATATATATATATATATATATATATATATGTGTGTGTGTGTGTGTGTGTGTGTGTGTGTGTGTGTGTGTGTGTGTGTAATGATGCGTTTTATATTTTTTGTTGTAGGCTTTCAAGTGGTTATTATGGCCTATATAGGAGAAGGCAAGTTCTTTATATCGAATGTAGGTGAAGAGGAGAGATCCGGCGGAGCTTCTGGACGTTACCTGATTGATAGATCCTGCCCCTCCCCATTTACACTGCCAGCTGTTCCTCTTTTCTATTTATTGTAGTTGAACCCACAGGAAACGAGAGTCCTTTTCAGGGATTTATTTATCGCTTCATTAGAACTCCATTTATCCACCGGTCAGAGGCGACAGCCGTCCAACCTCTCCACCTGGCCAGTCAATAGCAGTTTACACTGCTTTAGTCTCTGTTGTCCTGGTTGAGTTTAGATCTTCAGTGTTGATGAGTAAGTTGCTCTAATACACTTTTAGGATAATGCAGAGACAACACTGTTATCTCGAGTAGGCGTAAGGAGCAGCAGTATACGACCTCGTAATTCCATCATTAGATGCCAGTCTGTTAGGTTGCTAGCTAACAATTCTTGTTATTCAAGCATCATTGGTGTTTCTTTAAAGCAAGCCAGTTTGTGGTTTATATTACAACTTTTCTTGAGAAGACCCCAATTACTGTTGAACGAAGCCAATACTCCCAAACGCTGACTAACGACGGTTTCGGAACTGTTTTCTTTAACAAGTTTCACTCAAATAGTATAGTTTTTAATTCAGTGCGGTGGGATCGTCACCCCAAAACCAACCTTATTTCGAAATCACCATGTCAAATCGACTATGGCTTCATGGTCGGAAATCCAGTGCTATAAACAACAGGTACAATATAGAATGGGTGGATGTGTGATGGCTTCTGTCTTTTGTAAGGTTTGGAAATCCTACCGGGATTTAACATTGGCGGCCACAACCTTAACAACATAAGATACGTAGATGACACAGTACTGATAGCAGACACGGAAAATAA